ATCGCAGGCCTTTGCTGTTACGCCCCTGGTGACCTGGACGAGCCTTTTGACCCAGGCCCTACTGGCCTTGAAGAGGAGACGGATGTTTCCCTTCGATCCGGGAAGAATAGGATACATAAGGCCTGAAGGCCTAGTTGCTTAACAACTTAAAGCGAGACATATTGTTCCCACGACTAGCCCTGGAATTCTCCGGTGTTTGTAATCAAGCAAAGGAATGGAAAATGGAGACTGTTATATGATCTGAGAAAAATTAATGAAGTCATGGAAGATATGGGAGCACTTCACCCAGGACTCCCAACTCCAACTATGCTCCCCCAGTCATGGACATTAATAGTAATAGACTTAAAGGATTGTTTGTTACCTTTTCTGATTGTACATATGTATAGGCATACTTGGGTTTAATATGTACAAGAAAAGGAATGGAAAATTCATAGAATCATAGAATCACAGAATATCCTGACTTGGAAGGGACCCTTAAGGATCATCAAGTCCAACTCTTGACAGCGCACAGGTCTACCCAAAAGTTCAGACCATGTGCCTAAGTGCACAGTCCAATCTCTTCTTAAATTCAGTCAGGCTCAGTGCAGTGACCACTTCCCTGGGGAGCCTGTTCCAGTGTGCAACCACCCTCACTGTGAAGAACCCCCTCCTTATGTCAAGCCTAAATTTCCCCTGCCTCAGCTTAACCCCGTTCCCACGGGTCCTGTCGCTGGTGTTAATGGAGAAAAGGTCTCCTGCCTCTCGACACCCCCTTACGAGGAAGTTGTAGACTGCGATGAGGTCTCCCCTCAGCCTCCTCTTCTCCAGGCTGAACAGGCCCAGTGCCCTCAGCCATTCCTCGTACGTCTTCCCCTCCAGGCCTTTCACCATCTTCGTAGCCCTCCTCTGGACACTCTCCAACAGTTTCATGTCCTTTTTATACTGTGGTGCCCAGAACTGCACACAGTACTCGAGGTGGGGCCGCACCAGCGCAGAGTAGAGCGGGACAATCACCTCCCTTGACCTACTAGAGATGCCGTGCTTGATGCACCCCAGGACACGGTTGGCCCTCCTGGCTGCCAGGGCACACTGCTGGCTCATATTGAACTTGCTGTCTACCATGACCCCCAGATCCCTCTCTTCAAGGCTGCTCTCCAGCGTCTCATCGCCCAGTCTGTACGTGCAGCCAGGGTTTCCCCGTCCCAGGTGCAGGACCCGGCACTTGCTCTTATTGAACTTCATGCGGTTGGTGATCGCCCAGCTCTCCAACCTATCCAGATCCCTCTGCAAGGCCTTTCCATCCTCAACAGAGTCCACAACTCCTCCAAGTTTGGTGTCATCAGCAAACTTGCTCAAAATACCTTCTATTCCTACATCCAGATCATTTATAAAAATATTGAAAGGTACCGGTCCTAAAATGGAGCCTTGAGGGACCCCACTGGTGACCGCCCGCCAGCCTGACGCAGCCCCATTTACCACAACCCTTTGGGCCCTGCCCGTTAGCCAATTGCTCACCCATCGTATGATGTTTTTATTTAGCTTATTATATTATTTATTAGCTTATTTAATATTTATATTTATATAATATAATTTATTATATTATTATATTATATAATATAATTTAAGATAATATAATATAATAATAATATAATATTTATATAGCTTATTATAAGCTATATATTAGCTTATTATATTATATTATATATTATATTAGCTTATTATATTTATTTATTTTAAAATTGAGACTGTTCTGTATATTTAGAAAGTTCGATGTTTGTCTACGTGGGTAGAGCAGACTCCACGTGCACCCAGCGCTGTTTACTTGTCTTTCATAAATAGTACTAAATTCAGATTGAGTTGTATCTTCATTTATAACATATCTGATCTAGATATCCCCTCTTTTCATTTCAAGCCACCCTCCTGCCCCCCTTGTCCTATCCCTACACCCCCTGACACAGAGTCCCTCCTCTCCCCATCTCTCCTGCAGCCCCTTCAGGCACTGGCAGGCCGCTGTGAGGTCTCCCCAGAGCCTTCTCTTTCCATCCTGTCCTTGTAGCAGAGCTGATCCAGCCCTGGAGCCACTGACCGCAGGGCGAGGGTTGCAGAGGGTGGACTGGAGGCACCAGCTCGGCTGTATGCCACATCAGGACAGCTTTGCGGCTGCCCCACGAGGATGGCAGGGGCTCTCCCCACACAGAGGTGTTTGCTCTCGCTCCCACCTTCCTGGATTTTTCCAGGGCAGCCCCAGGCCCCTTTGGGGTCCGGGGTTTAGCCTGCATAGGACCGCGGCCGGGCGCCGGTACCCGTAGCGCCGGGGGGATGCTTCCCTCTGCCGGCACCTCCGCGTCTCTGCAGCGAGGAGAGCACAGCGCCGGCCGGGGGCAGCACCTCGATCCCTGCAAGAGTCGGGACCCCAGGTCCCATCTGGGAAACAAGAAGAAAAAAAGGAAATATAGCGAATTTCTTCTAAAGGCTGCCGAGGACTGGGTTAGCTTTATTTGCCTCCTTCCTGGTGCGGGGGCACACGGTCTCAGGTTTTCTGGTCTCCCAGACCAGTGCCTTATTTGCTTGTAAATCTCCAATAAAATTGCTTGATCCACATCCTCTAGTTATGGGGGAAGATCCCTGCATCTAATCTGAGATCCCCAGTGGGTCTGAGGAATAAGATGCACTGGCAAACTGGCTGCATGCTTGTTCACACAGGGACCAGTCTCTCCATCCGGGGCTGGCATGAAGGTGCCCATAGGAGAAGTTGTTGCAGCTGATTTGGTGTCCCCACAGCTCTCCTGTAGCTGGATACCAGTCCGTCCCAGCAGGACCAGCTGCTGGGAATCTACAGCAGCCGGGAGATCTGGGGGATCTCATTCCTGTTATGAGGTCACAGAAGTGTGATGTGATGTGGAAATCCTCGTGTATGGAGCAGTAATGGCCCAGTCATACAGGATTCACTCCGTGGAAGCACTAGGCTAGGAATGAAGTAGCTGAAGCAGTGCAAAGCACAGACATAGTATCATGATGTATAATAGATAATATGTCATTCTGAGCATCTGTGCTCCAGCTTGTATGAAAAGTCCCAGACCTGAATTTCGACCCATGTCAGCATTTAAGGTCCAGCCTTTCAGTTGCTGTCACTTGCACAGTAAATTACCAGCTTCGTGTAAATGTGCCCAAACACAGAAAGTTTAGATCAGTTTAAATGCTTCTACCAGACATCAAATACCAGACGCAGCTTTAAAATCAATTCAGTTAAATCAGAGCAGGGTTTTTTATTTTAAGACAAATATAAAACGCAGCTTCTGAGGAACCCAGTGCAGTGAATCCCAAGGGAGGGGAGATAAAGCCACCTCTGGGATGGGCGGAGGGGGGGGTACAGGGAGAGGGAAGCATTGTTTTCTACAAAGAACAGGAAACGAGCCTCAAAGAGTACATGAAAGAGACCTTAAAACAAATGCAGATCAGCAAGGGGGGGGAGCCTCTCCCCTCATCTCCCAGCTGCTCTGCCCAGGGGCAGCCTGCAGATCTGCTGCTTTTAGCAGAGGGGGCTCCGGCTGGGGAGAGACAAGGGTGCTGGGAGCTCTTGTCCCCTCCCGGGGCAGGGCTCCGTGAAGCTCCAGGAGGAGCCAGAGGAGACAGGATTCACCCAGAGAAAGCAGTCGCCATGCTCTGCTTCACCCACGGGGATGCAATTAACGGAGCTTGGCCAACGCCGTGCTTCACGCCCTGGGAGGGGGCAACTGGGCAACGTTGGGCTTTGCCACAGGGCTGTTCTTCCTGCTCGCCCAGTGCATGGGCACTTACAGTCCTCTGCAGCGCTCACATGCCTCTGCGCAGCTCTGGTGACAGGGCAGCTCAAGGAGAGGGGACACCGACACGGTGCCCACTGGGCTGCTCGCCTTGTGGCAGAGAGCCTGGAGCTTTCTGGCACGCAGCAGGGCCAGAGAAATGGAGACACGGTCAGCAAGGGGAGATTGCAGAGAGGCCAAAATGTACCATCTTTCAATGCAGCTCTTCATGAAAATGTCCATCGCTTCTCCAAAATAGCCCTGCTTTGGGCCCCTTCAGAGGTTCAAGCCCTCTGCTGAACATGGCCACTTCCTTCTGCTACTCCTAATAAAACATGGTTCATGTTAGAGCCAACTGGCAGAAACGAACAGGAACGCACCAGAAAGCCATTTCCTCACATAGGAGGAGAGCCGGTGGCCCGCTGCCAAAGGGGACAATGAGGGACTCTAGGGCTAGTCCATGCAAGCCCTCGTGTTCCTGTTTACATGGAGCCCGGAGAGTCGATCAGAGAGTTTTCCCTGCATGTTTTTAAGGTAATGTTTAACGAAGTCACCCACAGCAGTGCCGCATCCCAGAGGGATCTGCAGGCAGAGGCTGCGTGTGTGGCAGGCGCAGAGGGCAGCGCTGTGTCCAGGCCAGACATCGCAATCACTGGGACCCCGACTCGTCCCTGAGGCCCTGCTGGGGGTCCCTGGGGGCGGTGGCCAGAGCTGGGAGGTGAAACACCGTGGTGACCCTGTTGGCAACAGAGCGGTCCTGTGGTGACCTTGTGCTGGTTTGAACAGGGCTGGGGCAGAGCCCCACAGGGCCTCATGCACCCTGTGACCAATGCCAGCGGGGCCGCCTGAGCTCTCTCGGTCAGACACAACCAGAAACAGCACGGGTGGGTGCCGCAGGCCTGGAGGTCAACCCCCTACCCCCAGACACCACGCCTGAAGGACGGGGACAGACCCCGTCCAGCCTTCAAGCCCCGCGGGCCCCTCTCAGCGTCCCCGTAACAGGATGGATCCACGAGGGCTGCGTGCGTGTCGCGGCGAGCCGAGATACGGGGACGGGGGGGGTGCAAGACGAGCCGCCCCCCGTCGAACCCCGCTTCCCCCACCCCGTTTGGCCGGGGGCCGCCCCCCCCCCCGAGCTCCCCAGGCCCCGAGGCGGCCGGGGCCGGGCAGGGGGCGCTGCCGTGCGGCGGGGCCGGGGGCTGCGCGGGGAGCGGAGCGGGGCCGCCAGGGGGCGCGGCGCGGGGCCGCCTTTGTTGCCGTTGGCGCCTTCCTCTATATAAGCGGCGGCCGTGCGCGGGCTCGGCTCGGCTCGGTTCGGCTCGGTGCGGGGGTTTGGCGGCTCGGCTCGGCTCGGCCCGGCACGGTACGGCGGGAGGATGGAGATGAAGAAGCGGCTCACGCTGGAGCTGCGCAACAAGAAGCCGGGCGAGGTACTGCGGCCGCATGGCGGGGAAGGGAGAGGGGAAAGGGACAGGCGCCGGGGCCCGGCCCGGCTCGGCCCCGCTCGGCTCGGCCTGGGGACCGCGCACCGCCGGGGGCGGCGGCGGGGGGGAAGCGGCGGCTGCGGGAGGCCGGAGCGGGGCCCGGGCTGCGCTGCCCCGAGCCCCGGGGCCGCCGCTGTGCCCGTGCCCGGCGGCTCGCCCGGCATGGCTGCGGGCGGCGCCAGGCTGAGATGGCTCCCGCCGCTCCGGGGCCGCCTAACATGGCCGGAGCGGCCCCGCGCACGCGGCTCGGCCATGTTAGGGGCGGCCCCGGGGCGCCGCCGGCCCCCTCCGCCCTTCCCGCCGCCCGCGGGCGCCATGGAGGGGCCTGGGCGGGCCGCGGGGGCCCGGGGCGAGGCCTCCGGGCTGAAGGTGGGGGGAAGAGGGGGCCGCTGGTGGGTGCTCCCCCGGGCTCTCGGCCGCGCGGGGTGCCCGTAGCAGGCTGGATCGCTTCCGAGTGTGTGTGTGTGCGCCTCCGGGCTCGCCCCATGTTCTCCAAGCGTGGCCATGCGCTGCTCCTCCGCCAGAGCCTCCTCCAGCTCCGGCCTGCGGTGCTGCCGAGCTCCCGCTGCGGGCTGGGGGACGGGGGGAGGCGCCGTGCCATCTCCTGGGCCTCTTCTGGCTAACGTGAGGGACGTGGGGTGCTTCCAGCCCCCGGGGTGCCGCTTCCAGGACAGCACAACGCTCCACAGGAGCAGCGCAGGCTGTGCCTTCCCCACCGCTGGTGGTTCACGGCTCCTTTGCTCCTGCGCAGAAGCAGCCAGGACTGCGTGGGCTCGCTGCACGAGCCCTGCACGGGGTGTCCTGGTAGAGGAGAGAACGTGGCTGTTGACATCAGGGGTGGAAATTCCCGTGCTTGGACCATATGCGTGTGAGTGGAGTTTCTGAAGGTTGCTGGTCAGCTTCTCAGAGGGGAGGAAATTTGGTGCATTCCTCACGGCAGGGACGTGAGGAATCATGGAGGTGCTGTGCTAAATCCGCCTAACCTTAAAAAAAAAAAAAGAATAAAAAAGGTGATAGCTGAGCTGCATTCAATCACTTTGCTGTACTTCTCCAATGCCTCCTTGGCCTGAACTTTCTGCTTCTCAGTGCCTGCCTGTGGCTAGTATGTCCTTTGCACAGCAGAGGAATGATGTCCCCTCATCTGTTGGGGCCAGTTAATCTGCCTTGCTGCTGGAGTGATTAGATTGAGCTGTACACAGTGGTCAGCTGAGGCTTGAGGGTTGGATTTTTGCAGCTTTCCAAAGCATTTTTGTTGCCCTTTCAGCCTCTGCTCCTGGGAGCTGGCTCACTGCCACTGTGCTCAGTGGGTAGTGCTTCAGAAACAAGGCCTGCCCTTATCTGAGGCCAGCCTTGTGGCCCCACTGGCATCCTTATAGCAAGATAGCTGTGGCTGTCACCTTGTTCTTGTGACAGATCAGTACGTCTCTGCAGCATGCTGACATGGGCAACTTAAAATCAAGCTGGAGCATAAGGAAAAAAAGGCTGTAAATGGAGGTTGTGGTAGAGGTTAAAGCCTTCACAGATGGTAAAGGAACTTGCAGAACAAGAATGGTTTGAGGAGTAGAAGTGTCCCTTCGAGGCTTCCAGCTGCAGGTTTCCTCTTGTTTGACACCAGGAATTTGAGTGAGTGGCATGCTGGGGAAACGAGCAGGCTCAGAGTGTGCGTGCCCTGCAGCCGAGGCTGGTACGAGCCAGTACTGCTGCTGGAATAAGCAGTCCTGGCTGCTCAGTCCTGTTCTGCTGTTGCACTGCCAGCTGCAGCATTTGTTCTGCCATTCAGGGCAAGGCGCTAGTCCAAGTTAAAGATGGTCTCTTCACAGCTAGGTTGGTTCTTAACTTAGTAATGTTCACTCTCACCTCTGTGGCTGCACCAATGAAGCAGCATCTGTGAAGTGCTGGCTTTGGCTTGCCTTTATGCTGGGGGGACTGAGTCTTAGTTTAATCAGAGACTTCTGTCTGAGGAGCAAAATGAGTTCAACTGCAGAACTCCCAGTTGAGCTTGTTTGCTGCTGAGCTTAGAGCCCTGACCAGTACAGCCACTTCTGGAGTGTGTTAACTCATTCTGAGCTTTCAGGGCTGCCCTGGCAACTTCACAACACAAGAAAGTCCTGCTTCTAGTAGGGCAAAGTGAATTTCAAATGACTTCTGGCTGATGTGAGCAGGAGAGTTAAAATTGGAGAGCTGCAGAGGAGGAATTTGGAGAGCATCATGAGCTTTCTGGCCAAGACTAATTTTTGCAATGTGCTGTGAAGAATGTGTGGGGTAAAAGCAAGTTTTGGGAATGGCCCATGAGAACTGGAGCTGGAGCATTCTGTGCTTCAGGGAGAGAGGAGGGTGCCAGGTATGTCTGCCCTTTGGGTGCGTGGAGGGGGGAACAGATCACTGCTGTGCTTTATGGCTGTAATGCCACAAGGGATTTTGTGCTGAATTACCAGGAATAGATTACCTCTGTGTGTGTAGTTTGTGCTTGGCAAAATATCATACGCCATCAGTGGCCCCCTCATGAAGGGCCTGGAGGTTTTGGAGAGTAGAGCTTTTGCTCTGTGCTGAGACTTCTACTAGGAATATATGCTTTCAGTGAAACAAACCCTCTGGGGGCAGGCTTTCCAGTGTCCAAAGCAGGTCTAGTGTTGTGGGGAGAGCTGAAGAGGACAGAACCAGGTGATGTTTGGCCTATGGTTAGTTCAGCCTAAAGTGCCACTCTGGAAGCTTTTTGAGGCCTTGTGTGTGAGATGCTTTGATGCAGTTTCATGGTTCAGCCTGTGAAGGTTTCCTAGTAGAGAAGGCAGACCTTGGCTGGAATCATACGATGCGGTGCAGTGGTAGCATGCTGCACAGCTTGTGCTTAGAGGGTAAAATCCTTGCCACAGTTACAGATGCTGACTTTGTGCTCTTACAAAAATTATTTGGCTTTTAAGACCTGGGATGCTCCTTAAGGTGAGTGGGGGGACCTTCAGATGCGCATGCTGCTGTGAAATGTCAGTCACTCAGCCTAATGTCAGCTTGGTAGACTTTAGGTGAGGCTTGACTTGGGAATGCAGTGACAGCTTCTGAGTGTTTCTGTTGGTAGGTGAAGGAGCTGGTTCTTGATAACTGCCGCTCGGATGATGGGAAGATCGTTGGTCTCTCTTCAGATTTTGAGAACCTGGAGTTCCTCAGCATGATAAACATCAACTTGCTGTCTGTTTCCAATCTACCCAAGCTTAACAAACTCCGGAAGGTGAGTCAAACCTGTGGTCCTGTCTCTCAGTAGTCCTTGTTCTGAGACCTTGCTTCCCTGGTGAGAACTTCTTTCCCTGCATCAGCCAGGAAAAAGACAATTTGATTCTGCTTTTTCCTTTGAGGCCTGTAAGCTGTGTGAGAGGTTGTTTTCTAATATCTGAGAGTATTTTTGAGCTCATATTTTTAAGATCATTTTTCTCTTGCTTTTGTTATGTGGCTGTTAAACTTCAGTAACATATTTCAGGTTTTAGAAATTGCAGTTAGATAGCAATATATGTAATCTGCAGTACACAAGTGGCTGGGAGTGCTGTGTTAGCTTGCAGAAAAAGGGTCTCAAAACTGGAACTGCTTCTCTAATGAATGGGGTTCTGTTGTAGTCTGGTTGTCAGGGAATTTTATTCTGTGTGTCAGAAGAAAAACACTTTGTGACCATATGATGCTTCCTCCTGGCAGCTGGAGCTGAGTGATAACCGGATTTCTGGTGGCCTTGAAGTTCTAGCAGAGAGAACTCCTAACCTGACACACTTGAATCTAAGCGGCAACAAGATCAAAGACATCAATACTCTGGAGCCCTTGGTGAGTGAAAGGCTGTGCTGGGATCTAAGGGATGACGTTTCCTTTGGGGAGCATGTCTGTGCAGCAGAAGTCCAACATCTTGGTAACTGTTCCAACAGCACTTCGTGGTTCTGATGGGAACAGATGAGTGGGTCCAATTTGAGGCTGGGCTAATAGTTAATGGCTCCACTGTCTGGAAAACCAGCAGCCAGTTGCTAAAAGAAGCATGAAATTGGGCTGGATGAGTAAAACTGTGGATGCAGTGCTCAGTGTCCATCTGAGAAAGAAAGGACCGTTAATGGGTCGGATGCAGTTTGAGGTAGGTGGCACCTGGGGTGTCATGGAGATGAGTTGCTTGGACACCAGCAAGGGTTTCCATTGCATCAGTCCAAAGATGCTGTCCTGCTGGGCTGTGACCCTTGCACTCAGGGTGCTGTCACAACTTGAATTGCAAGGTGTTCCTGTTATAAATGCAGGAAATGCATCCCTGGTGCATCTAAACTGCCCCAAAGGTGGCTCTTGCCTTGTCATCTAGACTCTGTAGTTGTGAAAGGCCTGATCTCTAGGGTCTTTGCCTCTGTAGCTCTTATGTTTCATCCCTACATCCCTTCCAGAAAGAGCTTGCAACTGCTCTCCTTGTACTTAGCCCAGTGCACAGTGTGATAGCCTGTTCGGAAGAGCTGCTGTGGCTGTGCTGAAAGGCACATCAGGTTTAGCCTGCAGACACTGCTTTGGTCTGCTGCCTGTATTGTGCTCTCTGGTATTTTGCCTGATGTTTTGGGGCAGAATGAGTCTGGTTCAGTGATCCGTCCTGCTTTGTGGGAGCTGGGCACTGTGTGCTTGTTGCCTGCTCTGTCTTCAAGGAGGGGAAAGCTGTAGGATAGAGGAGATGGATTAAAAAGGAGTTGTATTTCATTGTGAATGTTGTCCTACACTTAGTAAAAGCAGCAACTTATCTCCACCAGAAGAGCACAAGGTGAAAAGAATGCATGCAAAGACTGCTTTGTCATAGGTATGGTTAGGAAACCAGCTGTATTCTGATGGCTGCATGATCCTCTAATACTGTTGATTTGTAAATGATCTACCTGACTTGATCTTTGCAGAAAAAGTTGCCAAACCTGCATAGTCTGGACCTCTTCAACTGCGAGGTGACAATGCTCATCAACTACCGGGAGAGTGTGTTCACCCTTCTGCCCCAGCTCACCTACCTAGATGGATTTGATGCTGATGACCAGGAAGCCCCTGACTCAGACCCTGAAGCAGATGGGGATGGACTGGAAGATGAATATGAGAATGGGGAAGGTAAGGATTTTCTCCTCATGTTGTTTTTTTTTTTTTTCTGGGAACAACTTTTTCCCTTCTGTGTGATTGTGTTGCTAAAAAAAAATAAAAAATAAAATAGTGATTATAACTTGCTGCTTAAGTAGGGGCTGTCTGGACAACCCCTCCCCATTCCTTCCTTTGGCAGGCAGCATGAGAAGTGAGACTTGCTGCAGGCTGACAGGGCTTGTTGCTGGCACTCCCTGTGCAAGCTTGTTTTCTGTGATTTCCTGGCTATTGCTCATGTAGTGCTGGAGTAGGAGGTGTGAGCATACTGTCTGGGAATAGCAAGTATTTTGAAACTTTAATGCTTACCTTCATCTTTTGATAGAAGGTGAGGAAGAAGATGATGATGATGAGGAAGATGATTTGGATGAAGAAGTCATTGATGAAGAAGATGATGAAGATGATGACCTTGAAGGTGAAGAGGAGGAGGATGGAGTAGATGATGAGGTGAGACTTTTTGTTGTCAGTGTATATCCACAGCATTGAGTTGGCATGTTCAATAGTGCATTCATCCCTTAAGCTTGTGACCCATCTGACCAGGTGTCAGATGCTTCTTCATGGGCAGATCCAAGGGGTCTGTCCTGCCCTTGGCTCTGGCTACCTTTTGACTCCATCCAATGAGTTTGCCTGTTCAGTATTTGTTTACTGCTTGGATTGATACTTCTGTACTTCAAGTGATAAACTGTGACTTCAAGTGATAAAACTGTACACCCCCTTACTCCTAAGGGGTACAAGAGGCTATTGAGGAAACAGGAGCTTCTCCATGCTCAGCTTGTACCTGTCACCCTTAGGTTAGAGTAAGGCAGGAGAAGAGGTGAAGAGGAAAGGGTGGTTACAGAATTATACCTTGCTCATGAGATTGTGGCTTGTGTAACAAGGTGTCTTGTTTTGATTCCAGGAGGAAGATGAGGAGGAAGATGGTGAGGATGAAGATGATGATGAAGCTGATGACGGTAAGTTGAATTCTAACAAACTGTTGGCAAAGCTGCCTTGACAGTCTTGCACATTCTTTGGATTCTAAGAGCTTCCCAAGATTCTGTGTTGTGCTCTTGTTGCCTTTAGCTCTTGATAAGTGCAGTGCTCTGACTTGTGGGCGCTTCTAAGCTGCTGCTTATGCCTGAGCTAACTAGAGTATAACATCTGTAACCTAAGGGTCATGCGCTGCTGATGGGGAAACAAGTTTCAGTGCCTCTTAATGCTTACTGAGCTGGGTAGGTGTGCCAAATAGTAGAGGTAAATTGCCTAGGGAACCAGTTCTGAATAGCTTATCCTGATAGTTCATGCAGGATTAGGGCTTCTGTCATGGAAGCTCATGTTAGCAGTCTTTGTGAGGATATGCTCTTGAATGCTCATGTTCCTTTCTGCTATCAGCTACAGAGAGGGTAGTAAAGCTGAACTTGATTTGAGTCCAGACTCCTTTAGTTCTAACAGGGTGTAAGCACCCGAATTAATGTTCATAGAATATAGTGGCTGGCATGACTTTAAATGACCTTGTATCCGTTTGGTTAGAAATGACCAAATTCTACAGATCCTATAATTCTGAGAGTGTTCAACAAAAAAGCCTTTTGAAGCACTTGATGGAATGTGGGATGCTTAGAGGGCATAAAAATGCTTAATGTCTCATATGAGTCTGTGCTTCTTAGTAGCATGGGAAGCTGAGCAGGGTGGATCTCTGTTCTGTAATGGTGAGAGTCTAGTCTGTGCTTGTTCACTGGCAAGCTGTGGCTAATGCAGCTTGTAGCCAGTTTGAGTGCTGTTCCACAAGACTGAACAGACAGAGCTTCATGCTTCACCTCTTTTTGCAGACCTTCCACGAGGGGAAAAGAGAAAACGAAATCTAGAGGATGAAGGAGAGGAAGATCCAGAAGATGAAGAGGATGATGAGGATGACTGATCCCAGCAAGCCAATCAGTTTTACAGACTATGACTGTGCTTGTCTTAACTTCCCCGTTGTGTCTATGTGAGACTGTAAATCCCTGTCTCCCACTCCTCCCCCCTTTGTATGGCTGCAGCGTCCACAATATATTTTTTTAAGATGTAGAATACTGTAGGCATTCAGGGGAATCTTCCATACAAGGCTCTCTTTCTCACAAGTATCTCATGACCAAAGGCTTTCTCCGTTCTGTGGTTTGTGCAGCAGTTTGCAAAAAAAAAAAAAAAAAATCCTCCTAGGGTATCTTTCATGTCTGAAATCAGCCTTGCCACACAAGAGCTCCAGCTTGCCACCCTGCCTGACAGCAAAGAAGGTGTTTGCTATCTGCATGCCCTCAGACCTGCTTTCTGAAGACGCTTGAGCCATCTTGAGCAGTGGGTGCAAATCTGGTTCATCTGAATGGACTCTAAGCAAATGATCACTGAGGTCTCTCTGATCAGAAAAAAAATGGTGATGTGATCTCTGGAGATGCTTGAAGATACTTTAGTGCTGGGGATGTGGGGTGCCTGGGGTCTTGGATGGGGGGGTTGACTGACTGCTTACAAAGACCCTGGTACCTCTGGTGATGCACCTTGCAGTAGCCCTGTACTTGCTTTCCTATTTTTTTTATAAACTGGAATATTTTTTCCTGATGGCCACCTAATACCTTCCACTTGCACACCCAAGTAGGGCTGATGTGTGGCTGTGAGCCTCTGCCATGATGAGGTTTCTCATTGCCATAGCAGCCTTTAGGAAGAGATAGGAAATAGCAGGTTTAGGGATACTGCACTTCTGTCAAACTCCATTTCGCACTGTACAGAACATGTTCAACCAGTATCACTGTGATGCACCTAACTCGGCGTTCCCCAGGAGACCGTGTTAGCCTATATATTCTCAGGGTCCTTCTGCTAGCCAGTAACAGCTCTGGACAGTTGCCTCAGCGCTAGCCTGGTGTATGCGTCGTCCTCCTTTTTCCTTTTCAGCATGAAGAGAAGTGCATTGATCAGAAGTCCAGCTCATTCCCATTCAGGCTATTTGCGCACTGCTGGAGCGCAGACGGCGCTGCGGACCGTGTCTCCCTCTGACCTGGGGTGTCTAGAGCGGGGAGGGGGGGGCTGAAATTGGCCAGGGGTAGCTCTCCACTGCAGGGTCTTTGGCCCTTCCTTCCTCTGCCTCGAGGTGTTCAGACAGCACAGCTGATAGCTTCTGGAGAGACCTGGCCCTGTGGCCTCCAGGGATGGGAACCGGTGGGTGTTGGGTGCTGGGACAGCAGTGCTTGGGCGGGGCAGCTGCTGCTCCTTGGAGGAGCACAGTGCTGGGGCTCCAGGGGGGCTCCGGGGCACTGGCACTGCGTGGAGCTCCTGGTTGTTGCTTGGGCAATCTGTCAGCACCCAGCACTTGGAGGTGAGGTTCACAGCGGTTCCTTCAGGAGTGGTGTGTGTTGCAGCACATCTGAGTCTCTGTTGCTTTGTTCTGTTCTTGCTGTTGTCTCTTGCATTGTACAGTAGCTGTAACCATTTGGAGAAGAACTACTCCTGTAAAATGCAAACTGAGTAACTTATAAATGTTAAAGGAATTAAAAAAAAAATCAGAGCAGCAGTTACTTCTAATTTTTCCCTGCATTTTTAGCAGATTGTATGGATTTTATATTAGCCTAGTAACTGTCAGGTTTTGATTGGTCAGACTAGTCCCAGAAATAATGATCTCCGGCCCTTTTGTATCTTTTGTTACAAAATTTGGATAAAACTTTTAATAAAGACTTCAGTTTTTAAAAATCCATTGCAATGAATGTTGTCTTAACTGCCCCTGCTCTATGAACACCAGAGCTGTGAGCAGCCTGTGGAAGCTCTGGGGTGGTTTTTCTTGAGCAGCTGGATCTCATCAGCAGTGGTGACTGTCCTGTTCACCCAGGCATGGCCTTTTTTTTTTTTTTTTCCTGCTCTGAGCCCCAGCTGAGTGGATTCTTGGTAAGTGCAGCTTGTCTGTTCTTGCTCTGCAGGGCTGGCTTGGGCAGGGCTGTTTATGGGGTGGTGGTGGTGATATGGGGGCTTTGGGGTGGGGAATTGCTTTGGGGAGGGATGTGGATCAGCAGGGTCCTTGCATGAATGTGGGGGCTCTGTGGGGATGATGCAGCCTTCACTCTGTGCTGCTCTTGGAAATGGCCACAGCAAGGTTCATGGGTAGCTGCAAGAGCTGTTTCTTGGGGAACCAGGTTAGTGTGTGTCTGCTCTTCTGGTCTGTATGGAAAGTCTGCTTAAATGCTGAGAAGTCCTAGTTTTAAGACATTTTTAATATTCAATTCTGCTGGATGCTCAGCTCTGCTGAGAACAGAGCTTACAGCTCCAGGGTGGTGCAGGGTGAGGAGAAGGTGGGTGAGCAGCCCCAGTTCTGGGTTTTGGGAGGCCACCCAAACCCTGCCCTCAAGCAGGAAGCTGCTGGAGGGTTCAGGGAGGCTGATGTGTGAGCTGTGCACAGCTCCCTGGGGGCTGGAGGTGTCTTTGCATTGCTGTGATCCTGGCCTGGCTCCAGTGAGCTGCTGCTGTGCTAGATCTGCACAGCCATGGGCTTTGCCTAGGGGTCTTTGCAAGGTTAGGGTGCCCAGCACCATGCTCTGGGGTTAGTGTGAGGAGCTACGTGGAGGAACAGAGCTCCAGCTACGGGGCTGGTTGTGCAGAGACCCCCTTCTGCTGCTGCTCAGCCCCCTCCAGAGTGGGGGCTGCCCCTTTTTACTACAGGCACAACCCCTGCTGGGGCTGCTCCCCTCTCCTCACATGCCTTTCCCTGCTCAGAGGTGGGTGTGCTGGAGCTCTGTCCTGCAGGCAGAGCTGTACAGGGGAAGGTGGGAGCATGCAGCCTCCCCCCCTCCCCAACAGACAGGACCTGTGTAATGGGGCCAATGTGACTGGGAAAGCACAGCTCCAGCTGCACTGCACAACTCCTATGTGCATCCTGCCATGGCTGCTGTGTGTGGTGGGGGGAGCCTGGGGGTCTCCTGCAGGGGGGCAAGCAGGCTGCAGCCATCGCTTGCAGCAACTCCAGCCCCTTGGAGCAGAGCTCAGCAGGTGAAGGAGGGACTTGGGCCTCCTAGCAGCCCTCCCTGGGTGGGATGCATAGGAGCTGACCTAGAGGGAATGGTGCAGTGCCATGGGGCTGGGCTGGATGCTTCCCCTGCTCCAGGGCTGGTGCTGGGGCACAGCACTGCTGTTTTAGGCTCTTCTTCCCTGTTGTACTTCAGGCACTACTCCCCTGGTACCAGCAGCCTGGGGTGGGTGCATGCATCCCCTGGGGCTGCATCCAGACAGTGCTGATGCAAGGGGCAGGGCTACCTTATTCCAGACCAAGGAAATCAAAATCCCTGTGCATCTTCCCCCTCCCAGGGTGCTGCAGGGCTCCCGGCCAGGCAGAAGGGTGGGGGCTGCCCCTAGACCTGCTTTGGTGTAAACCTTCCTGGGATGGTGCTGCTTCAGGAGCCCTGTATGGTTTGGACCTGTTCACAAGGGGATACAGAGACCCCCCTGTTCCTCCATGCAAACCCACCCCTTCTCCTCCCTCCCCCTGTTTTGGGACCCACTGAGGGAGCCCTGCCCCCTTGTTCCCAATCTGCTTGTGTTTTTTTTTTTTTTTTTGGGACTGGCACAACTTTGCCCATTGCCCCCCACCATGTGGCCCCACAGAGGCTCCCCCAGCCACTGCTCCTGTATGCTTCCCATTTATTAACTTCCAGACCTCGTTTCAGAGAAGTCCACCACCTCTAGAGCATCCACCAGGCTTCCCCTGAGCCCCTGGGGCAATGAAAAACCTTTAGGAGAGGGAGAGACACACAGGGTCCAGGGGCTTAGCGTTTCCAAAAATAAAAGGGAGAGGGGAGTGGAACGTCAATAAAACAAAGGTTGTTCCCCCTCTGCCACCCCACGCTGGAGCGATGCTCCCCGTGCCCCTGTCCCAGTGCGGTGGCATGGGGTCTGCAGTGCCCTTTGCCCAGCCAGGGTGGGGGGATCCCCAACAGGGGCAAGGTCCCTCAGAGCTGCGAGTACAGGGAGTTCTCCATCTCCGGCGTCAGCTTCGAGTGGAAGGAGGCGAGGCCCACCCTGAAATCTGGAGGGAGAGGGAAGAGAGCTGTCAGGGCTGGGGCCGAGCTCCTGGCATATGGCAGGAGACGTGCAGCCTCCCTGGGGCATTGCTGTGGGTCAGGGGCACACCGCACCCCTGGGTGCTGCCCACTGTGGCAGTGACATGGGGGCAGGCAGTGGGGCTGTCCCCATTGATGCCTTCTTTCCCCCGACTTGGGGGAAAATCAGCTCAGTTCAGCATCCAGAGTGCACAGAGCTGCTCAACCCCATATAATGAGAGCATGTGGGCACTCGGGAGGGACCCCCTGCATCCTCCCTGTTCCCCCCCAAGGCCGTACCCATGTCTGCGTCCAGGCGCCCGGGTGGCGGCAGGTTCTTGCGGTGGTCCTCGATGTGCAGTGTCATCTCCTCCCGCGAGGCGGTGGAGTAGGGGCACTGCATGCAGGTGTAGCGGCCCCGCGTGTGCTCCCACACGATGCGGCTGTTGGAGGCGTGCCCTGCAAGGGTGGGCAAGGAGGGAAGCACAGCGCTCGCTGGGGAGCCCCCGGGGGTGGGAGCCCCGTGCAGAGCGGGATTTGGGAGTGGAAGCCCATGCTCCCAGCCCTGTATACACACAGGGTACCCTCTGTGCTTGGGGGGACCCCAAGGCTGGGTGTAGAGCTGGCTGTGGGCATTGTGTGAGGCTGTGCTGCTCGGACCCCCTTTGCCCATCGCCTATGCACCTGCAGAGCAAAAGCGGGTGGTTTCCAGCTTGGCCACAGCCAGGGAAAATGGGGGTCTTTTGAGTCCAAGCAGCAGCTGCACCCCCAGTTTGTGCTGCCAATACAGCCAGGCTCAGCAGTTCCTTGGGGGGGGTGCAGCCAGTGACCCCCCCAGTCTCCAAGCCTACCTGGGGAGCAGCTCCTCTGTGGAGGGCTCCCAAAAACAAGGGTGCCCGCCCTCCCCACTGTGCTCCGGGGAACATCACAGCCTCCAAGGGGCCTCTCCCCTCCCCTGTGCCTCCCCCTTCCTTCCCCCCCCCCACCCCCTCAGTGACAGAAAGCAGCCCCCAAGCAGCCCCAGTAGTGCCAAACTAACCTGCGGTCACTCCTGAGCCAAAGCATGGGAGGAGTGGGCTGACACTCACACCTGCGGAGGGAATCGAGGGGCAAGACAAGCATTAGGTCTTCCCCTCCCTGGTGGGGGGGAATGCTGGGGGGGCAGGCCTGGCCCGGCCCCTGCCTCACACCCCAGCACGCCGGGGAGGAGCAGCAGGGCCGGGTAAATTTGGAGGTTGGTTATTTATTATTATTTTTTTGGTGGTTGCTTTCATTTTTTTCCAATCGAGCATCTCTTTAGGTGGGAGAGGAGGGGAGCAGAGGCGGGATGGGGCAGGGGGTGGTTGGGGTGGGGTGAGGGGAGCCCAGAGAGGGACTGGGGCAGCCCTGGGCTGCAGTGGCTCTGGGCTGGGGAGGTGTAGGGGGGGAGGGATCCTCGCTGGCCGTCGGTGGGTCCTCATCCAGGAGCTGCTGGTCAAGGCGGGAGCAGAAGGTTTGCCCTAATGGCTGCCCGCGCTCACCTTGGCTTTTCTTCCAGATGGCGTTGGAGACGGGGGGGCCGTGGCTGGGCACGAAGGGCCGCAAACGGGGCTGCGCCGGGGGTGGAGGTAAACCATAGGGCGACGGGTGCACATAGGACAGGAACGGCACTGAGGAGGGGGGTGGCCCCGAGAACCGAGTCAAGGATGATGGCCCAAAAAGGTTGGGCTCCAGCAGTGGGAAGGGGTGGGGGGCCGGCGAGACGAGCGGCATCGCCTCCAGCGAGCTGGGCAGCTCGGGCAGGCTGGCGGGCAGTGTGGCGGGTGCTGCCGGGGCAGTGTCCGCGCCAGGGATGATGGCTTCTTTCTCTGTGTGCTGGATAATGCTCGGGAGCTTGGGCAGTCCCTCAGCTGCCTTGGCCGGGAGTTCCTTCTCCAGGGCGGAGGTAGCGGGCGGGACAGGCTTCTCGGCTTTTTGGGGCGGTGCAGGGCTGCCGGCGCGGTCAGAGCAGACGTGGAGGTGCTTGAAGAGGGAGCGGTGAGTGCGGAAGCGCAGCAAGCAGTTCTCACACCTGCAGGGTTGGCAGGCAGCATCAGTGCCAGGTCAAGTTCCCACCCACAGCCCCAGGAGCAGCATTCCCCCCTGCCACACAGCCCATGAACCACTCCTGGGGGCTACCTGCAATGGGGGGGGGGGGGGGGGGGAGGGAAGTGAGGCGAGGCTGAAAAGGGGATGTACAGGGTGCTCAGGGCTGTCTGGGTACTGCAGTGTGTCCCCAGATGGGATTTGGTGTGGGGCCATGTGCTTGCCTGTCCAATACCTGCGAGGGAGGTGGCAGAGCTGTGCAGGATGGTGATGGGGACAGGGTGGGGACTCACTTGAAGTAGCGGTTTGGCTTGTAGTGCACCTTCATGTGGGCCATGAGGTCCTGCATGCTGGGGAAGGTCTCCATGCAGCCTAGTGTGGGGCACTGGAAGGTTTTACCTGCAAAAAGAGATGGGGCAGAGTCAGCACAGCCCCAGCCGCACTGCACCCCCCTGTGGCAATGAGAGGACCCACCAACATGTCCCTGTCCCTTCCCGTGCTCTCCCCACTGCTGGCTGGGGCAACGCAGCATCTCCCAGGGGTGCAGACACCTTGAGGGCAACTTGTGCAGTGAGCCCCAGCTCCAAACCTTGCTTTTCCCCGTC